GTAAGTTCCTGACTATAAGCTGCTACTTTTTCACCTTCTTTGAACCCCGCGGCTTATACAATGCTGTGGCTAATTTATGGAAGAAAAAAATTGACGAGCTAACAAGCTTCATGCCGCCAAAGCGTTTAGCCTCATCACACCTGGGCACTCACATGGCTGCCCAATGCACGTCTCTCTTGGGGGGTGGGTCCTCTTGACTCAATGAGACTACCTGTATAAATAAAGGTCAGTGTTTCCCCTAGTTTACTTGCCTTAGCAGAGCGCTCATATCTTCCGTGATTTTTGTTGGGGTGGGGGTGGAGACACGTCTGTGTTGTGCACTGTTTGTCGAGCGGTGGAGGGGCAGCATGAGGGAGACTACCTCGATGGTCATAGCTTTTTAGCTAGCGTGTTTGTATTGTGAACCGCTAGCTTAGCGCTACTGCCGGGGAAGGGTGGGGGGTCGGTTGGCAGGGCGCTCAGTTCTATTACAGGGCGGGGTACCCTGCTTGTATAATGGTAGGGGAAACACTGAAGGTTAAAAAAACATCTAACCAAAGAAATTATGGAACAGGTCACAGTGGGCCAATGAAACTTGGTTTCACTGTTGCACTGGGAAGGGAAACAACCCCCCCCCCCCCCGGGGGGGCACAACAAAGTATTTTCAGCCACTCAACATCAGTGTGCATTTAAAATGGCACTCCGAGCTTGGTGGGAGGCTTGGATGACTGGCAGTGAGAAATCATTTATTAAAACTGTCCGCATGCAAAGAGCAACTTTTGCTCAAGTCTGCCAGTGGATCCTGACAGAGGAGCAGAGTAAAAGATCCTCTCGCCAATGGGATTCGAAAGGCAGCTGCGTGATCAAGAGGACAGCACAGGCTCAAAGGCGCAGGAAGATAGTGATCAATGAGTTCTTATTTAACCAGCTGTGTTACAGGCACTATTAAGAAAAAAAAATTATTGCATGTATTTGTGTATGTTACTGGTACATATGTAATTAAAAGTTTTTAAAAATCTTTCTGTGTAAATATCTCATGTTACAACATGGATACCCGTGGGTTAAAACCAGCCTATATACTGGCTATGTACTTAAATATATATATATATATATATATATATATATATATATATATATGTATATATATTTTTTTTTTTAAGTGAGCGTGGCTTATATTCAGGTGCGCTCAATAGTCTGGAAATTACAGTAATCGATGCAACATTTTTATTTTTTTATAACGTACAGTCGCTGAGTTATACAAGTTTAAATTAGCCTTACTCTGCCAGAACAGGGTCAAACTCATTCATGTCCTCCAGTGAAGGTTTGACTCGGAGCAGCTTCTTGAAGAGAGCCAGTGGGAAAGGCAGGTGTATAATGTTGTGGTTGTAAAGAGCCAGGCCACACAGGACACCAAACAGGAAGTAATTCTTCTCTGTCACCTTTGGCTTGAAGGGAATTAAAATCAAATTTTGATTTAGTGCAAATAAAATGTACAAAAAATGTCTCTG